AACACCAAATTGAGAGTAAAATTTAGAGGAAGAAAAAATTTTCAAATATAAATATATTGAACGCAAAACCAGTAAAAACGGGCAGCTTTCGCCATAGTGACACTTTTAGATGGTTAAATTGGAAGTAAATTATTTCATTTCAAAAAAAGGAGGAGGTTATCAGTTCGTCGGAATATTTTTTTTTATGTATGTTAGCGCGTATCTTTTTTTCATCGGCAAGGTGGTACCTCAAGGGAGGTCCCATACTAATTTTGTTTAGATCCGATAATTGGATCGTGAAGAAATTAACGATAGTCTTAAATTTTTATATGAGAATTGAAGTCGATTTTGTTGTTTGCTTAAAAATTACTTGCTGTTTTTATGTTATTTGTAATTTGCCGTTATTCAGCTTGAAAAAGGAGTGGTTCCACTTTTTACCAAAATAAAGGCATTAAATATATGTATGTACATTTCTATCAATTTTGAATAATGAAAAGCCCTAATAAACTTTGTGAAAAGCAATGAATGCCTATACAACATAAAAGCACAAAGCTACGTTACGTTCATTTAGCTTTACATAAAAGCGGTACCGCTGTTAGCGTTGAGAATAGCGTTCGGTATCCTACGCTCGTAATACTACGGCACCGCTTTTCGAGGAAACCAAAGCTTTAAAGCCTGTTCCTTTAGAAAAAAGTAACTACCAATGAAGAAAATCAATGCTTAAATAAGAAAGTAATGATTGGTCACATGAAAATGCGAAAGGCTTTTTTGTATGAAATATGAGCCGAAAAGAGTGTTACTCATACGCCGCGTACACCTGAGTAAGTAGAGTGTTTGCATCGAAAGCAAGAGGCGTCAGTTTCTCAGAAACTATCAGAGCTATCGAAAAGTGATGTACATACAGTTTATGGGGAATTTCATTAGCTTTCATTTTCCGTATCCGGTATAACGATTATTCAATTTGTTCGTAAGATATACGTGATTTAGAGAAACCACTCTTTTTTTAAGCTGAACAGCGGTAAATTGCAAATATCTCGAGAAGTTGTCCATAGAAAAAAAATTATCTCGATTTTCGGAATCGCCGAGCAATTCTACAAAGGAATTGGATAGTGGAATCCTTGGGACATTTTTGCTGTAAACCAGTGTAATTTTATCGATAATATAAAAAAAAGGCAAAAAAGGAAATTCATATTTATTACATAAATAACCGAAGTTGAGAAAAGGTGGCTAGTACTACAGGGCCTAGGGTGGCCAAGACTGTAAATCCGCCACTGGAGAGAGGAGTGAGTAAATGACGTGGCATTTTGTATTTACGACTTTTTTGCTTCTGGCATCGGCATTTGCAGTGTGAGGACAGCCGAATTTCCACGGTCGACTATCCCACTAATCGCCAAGAACATCTCACGGCACGATACACAAAACTTTTATTAGCTACTGGCTACAAGATCCAAAATATTTCGCATTTGTCGTAGCTCATTTTTGCAGGCCAATTACGACGAAAATAATATTAAAACAAAGTTTTTTCGAATACATAGCGATCAACCCTCGGCAGGCAATGGCAAACTCTCCGAGTGCGATTCTGTCAAGAAAAAGCTTCTCATAAAAATACAACGGCCGTTCGGAGTCGGCGCAAAACCATAGGCCCATCCCTTTTGTGTGACAACATCAAGGCGCACGCCGCAAAGCGGAGGAGAAGCTCGGCCAAACACTAACATATTGTGTTAGCGCCAATCTATTATTACCCTGTGGAACAACTGTGTAGTCCCAGTGAACATTTTTCTTTAAAAAATTTTGTCAGTTCATCAGATTCGGCCAGCGAAAAGTTGAGTTCACATCTTCATCTTTATCTTCATCTTCATCTTCATCTTCATCTTCATCTTTTCTTTACCTTTGTTTTTGTCTATTTCGAAATTGTCCAATCCAGCTTTTTTTTAAATTTCGGATTAAAATGCAAATTTTATAATAATTCGCAAACTAGAGGCAGTTGGAAAAAATACTAAGGATAAAGTCAAAATCTCAAAATTTGTGTATTTTCCCAAAGGTGCATACGCTCGTTTCTTTTTCGGGCAAAAAAATGTATATTGTAGCGAAAAAATTCCGTTCAGCAGTATCTTCATTCGAAAAACAAAGTATTTTTTACGGTTCGAATATTGGTTTTTTTTTAACCTCATGAAAAAATGATACGGTCTAACAAAAGCCTTGTAAAACCAAATTTTTAAGTTTGTACAAAAATTCGGTGTTACCAAAAATTTGCATCCCTAAATGCAGTGCAAATATTCAGCGATTCAGCTATGAACATTTGTGGAAATTCCTGTATTGCATATTTCACGGGGCAATATTTTGTTACCAGCTTGTGAGATCGTAACCAAATTTACCGGTTACAAGTGAGCACAGAATGCGAAAAAGGTTTAAAAATTAACAGACACTTTAATTACCGGTTACAAAATTTATGTTACAAGCGCAGAATAAACCTGTAAGCAAACAAAAGAAAAATAGTCAAAACTGGTCCACATGTCGTGTTCCTATTTTTTCACATAACTGTATGTGTATGCATTTTCTTAAAGTGTTTCCACGAACAATTCGCTGTCAGCTTATATCGTTTGGTAAAAGCAACTGATAAATTTATACTGCTTCTGTGCATAAAAATTTTTTGGTAGAAAAAGGAATTTTTCATATAAATAAATGAGGTATTTTGAAAAAAAGAGCAGTATCCATTTTTGGAATCTAAAAAAAAGTATAATACTGAAAAATGCAAATGTATGCGTTATGCACACTGTATGTTACAACGTTTTGAGGGGAATTTACTCGAATTACGGAAAAAAGTGACTTAATATTTTTTGTATGCAATTTCTTAAGCTACAGCCACAACATTGTCATAAAACTTAACGTTATAAGGATTTTTGCAAAAAGGAACAGTCCAGCGCCTTCGTCTTGGTCTGCAGGCTGTATCGGAGATACAGCCGCTATATTTAAACGTAGAATACGTGGTATGGTTAAGAGCATATCCAAGTCAAAAACGAAATCACACACTAAGAATAGAAACAGATCCACATTAACTGCAATCAACATATGTACGCATGTATGTATTTACATATGTACACACGCTGCGATTAGGTTATAAATAGCGCGCCTCTGTTTATCAAAAGCCGCATTACATACGCATACATACTTTTTGTCTCCTTCCCACACTTCCAACATATGCACGTGTTTGCAAAATGATGACGAGGTGATTTTGTATGGAAAATCATTTATGCCCATATATTTGAATAAAATAAACATATATAGAAGATATCAACCAATACTTCCCATATACCAAACGAAAGGAAAACTCTTGAATTTTTTATTAAAGAAAACAAAAACAAAATCATTCGAGCGGTTTTCGAGCATTTTGGTAATGAAAAAAATTTGCAAATTTTTTCAACAATTTTTTGCCTTAAAATGCTCAATATTTGTTAAATTTATATAAAATTTGTACCCGATAATATTTCTACTGCTCCAAAGAACCTATATCCCGAAAATGAAAGTTATATATGCCAACAATAAGTTGCTAGAGCAGTTTAAAGGCTCAAAATTGACCCCAAAATAAGGCAATGTTTACCGTTGTTTTTACGACAGAAACCGAATTGGTTATTTACAAAAATGAATCTGTCGACAGGTTTGGAATTTTATCTTTGAAACGCCACACTTTTCTTTGAAATCGCTTTATTAGTTCTCGTGCAATAAGCGTTTTTGTGAAGCTCTAAAAATTACAACTACAACATTTGAACATAGCCCCCATACCTTAAGGTAAGACGTATTCTACGTCAAAAACATTACTTGCCCTTTCACCTCACGTAATATTTCATGAGGCACTTAAATCGATAAGGAGGTATGCTGTTTAGTACCACGACAAGGTCCATGCAAAAATCCCACTTTCCATTAACTTTTCTGAAGTTTGTTCTTTAATTAGTTTCGTTCCTCAACTTTTCTGGATAAAACCTGTAAAACTGTCAAAAATCAAAATTGCACTCAGAGGAAGAGAAAAAAACCAAAACAGTACGGGAACGCTTTTCGGGTAAAAACTGGTAAAACTGTCTCAAATACACCGTGGTCGCCATTTTTGTTTACAAAGCAGTTTTTTTTATCATTTGGCGACCTTCTACTTACAAAACTTGATATTTCCTCTCTAGGATATATGTATTTAATAAGGTGAGAATGCTTATTCAAATTTGAAATCATTTGAACAGCTGATGGCTTGCCACTTTACCAGACTTTACCAGCAAAAATTCTTCGGGTAAAATCCTGCAACTTCTGACAAAGAGAGGACCGATTTTACTCTCCCATTTTTCCCCTACTTTGCCAGAGAACCGAGTACGGGACCGCGCTCTGGTAAAATCCTGTAAATTCTTGCAACTTCTTGCGAGTTAGGGAACGCAACTATTCCTAGACTAATGTAATGTACATTAGGTTGGGTGGGTCCCCATACAAAAGAAACAAGTTTGTTTTAAAATCGAGTTACCAATAAAAATGTTATGAAGAAACGTACATTTTGGTTATTTTTAGAGCGCCAGAATCCTTTCCAAGTAAGCTCTCAAGCTAGGGAGGTCATTACATTATGTCACGACTCGGTCTAATGTACAAACATACATGCAAAAAAACCTTAACTAACTAAATTTTTTTTTGTTCTCTAAAATGATGTGCGGACTTATAATTCGATGAAATACATCATAACAAATCAAAAAGGGAATTTAGGATTTTACTTAGTTACGGCTTTTTGTATTTCAACGACGATGTGAGATAGGGGCCTTCCTATATTAAGGTACATATCCCGCCGGTATTCTCGAAATCTCTCTTGGTTTACTAACAAGTAAAACTCAAATATTTTTTTGGTTTTTTTTTTTACATATAATCTTTGTATTTTTAGTTATCATTCACT